CTAGGCTTCAAAATATAGGTGGGATAGCTGAAGTTTGGTGGTGGCAAGAACTGGGAGCTTTTAAAGAGAGGGGAACGGAGAAGATCGTTGGGGATAGGGTTCACCCCAATTTTCTTTTCTCCTCTTTTTTGACCTGATCACCACCATTTTTGCCAGAATTTCTATAACTCCAGCCAAATTGCTAATGAGGTGGAACAAGATTGGTCGCCCTGGTTTTTCAGCGACACCTTGTCTTTTCAAGCACCGATCTTCCTAAATTTCTCACTGTAAACTGAAAAAGAAAGAGAGGAATCTAGACTGGACCAATATGAAATTTTGTATTAAGTAGGGCTTCAGATCTGATCTGTGGGTTTTTTAGAGAGAGAGAGAGATGATGTAGAGAGAACTTGTGCAACTTTGGGTATTAGAGAGAGAAATGCAATTTTGAGAGAGAGAAAGAGAGCTGCTTTGAGAGAAACGTGAACGGAAAAAAATGTTGAAGGTGTCATTTTAGTTTTTTTTTTGAGTAAAAATTTCATGATCAAAGGGGTCTAGGGGGTTGTAAGATAGAAAAGTTGGAGGCCTTTGGCTTACAAGTAATGTTTCCCTTTTTTAAATTATAATTGAATTTCTTTCTTTTTTTGGCATGCTCTTTTTTCATTTTTTTATGGTTTTGATACATGACTTATTGTCATACTATTTCTTGCTCACACTTTGTTACACATTCCATGTTACTTGTAGACAGAAAATTTCTCCATAATACATGGCTATGGGGACATTTCTTTTCAGCGCCATTACATAGGCATGGATCATAAGAAGAGGTGTGCTGTCTTTATATCATATTTTTTTAGGTAGATGATTTATTGATGTTACAATCCAGAGCTTCTATGCTGTCATCGTGCTTAGATCAAAGAGCTAGTATTATGATTCTTGCAGCTTCACTCTCTCAGAAGCCCACAGATTTAGATTGCAGTGCTATTCAAGGGAACCAGGTTAGTTGCTTATGTATGGTGTCACTAGTATCTTCACTTCTCCATTTTGTTTCTATGACTTCTCTTTATCTGAAAAAAATGGGAGGGTTTATTGGCTGACTTTAATCACACAAATCTTGATTTCCCCAGGTGCTCTATGTAAGGAAATCGATGTTATGAAGTACTGGAAGTCAAAGGGGTTCCTACGGAAAACCCGGTGGTTGCAAAGTTGGGTACAAAGGGAAATACAAGCGCTCATTCATGTAAGCGAATAATTATCTTTCCTACTCCAAGACAGTTTTCTTGGTAATGATTTGTGAACTAAAACTGCCTAGTGTTTCTAAGTTCTATCTAATAATCTCATCATTAGTAATTTGTGTCTACTTGATTGAATCAGAAAGGATTTGTGTTCTCTTGGCTGTCTACAAATCGTAGTTGTTATGGGCAGTTCCCAGTTGCTTCTTATAAATATAAGAGTTCTCCAAGATATTTCTTTGGCTTCTTAATGTAAAAAGATCTCAATTCTCTTGTTCGTTGTTATACTTTATACTTATCAATAATGTGAATATTTAAGTTTGTGCCGGTTCCCAACTTTAATTTGCATGTGAAGACATTCAAAACCTTGCAATTTCCTCAGAAAAACACTTATCTCATGAATTGGTTTTCAAAGTCACTTTTTGTTTTCTTGAGCATTTTCTTTCGTGTTCTTCTCTGTGACCTTTCAAGTCAATCATGTTGTAGAATAATCATTAAACATGTGATGTTACTAATCACATTGAACCTTCTTTGATTTATGCAAGGAGGAAGATGTTGATATCATTGTGCATCATATCTTGGGTGTTATTGAGTCATTCTTAAGAAGGTATGTTGCCTATTAATCACAGAATCTCTTGACATTAAATCTTGGTATGGAAGGCATTAATGTGTGGCTCATATGAACAAAAAAAACACATCAAAAGGGATTATCTGTAATATTTTATAACAGAAAAGCACATTGTCTTCAACATGCATTATTATGGTTGATCGTGATTTGATGAGTAACTCGGATTTGGGAATTGAAAGGGTACCCAGAACTATTAATCCCTGAATATGTTGAGTACAAATCTTGGTATGGAAGGCATGATTAATTATAGGAACTTATGGCTTCTGTGAATGGTGTTTGAAAATGATAACTTGGATTGAGACTCGCTGCGGTCCCAAACCCGAGTCGGGTTTGACAGGCTCCATGAAGTCCAAACAAAAGAATAATAAAACATTGAGAACTTGAGACTGAGCAGGTTCCCATGAGTTTGGTATTGGAACTGGCATACTGCTGAGTCCGAGTTGGACTCGCCGAGTCCGAGTTGGACATACCAAGTCTTCCCACATCGTTATGAATTGAAGATGGATACCATAAAGAATTTCTGGTCTTATAACAGAAAACACAATATCTTTAGCGTGCATATTATTTTTGGTTCTTCTTTCAAGAAGTAAAACACCTTGGCTTTGCGAACTGAAAGAGTATACAGACCTCATTTGAGGTTATCAGTTCAGTGTTCTACTCTAACACACAATGTATCTTAAATCGTGTTTGATTTGTCATCATTGTGACAAGTTTGTTAATGTGCTTAAGGATTTCTGACCCTTTTGTATGCCCGCTTGCATACGAGAGGGTTGGATGGTCCAAATTGCATATCATTTTATTATTCTTTTATTTTTAACAAATCCAATCAATGCAAAATTTGGGTTGTTTTGTAAATCAAGAGTTGGTGAACCGAATAAAAAAATGTAAAAATAATTCAAACGAAAAATTGACCAGATTACCCCTGAAAGTTTTGGGGGCAATTTGGACAATTTTTTATTTTAATTATTTTTTAAATATTTTTAATGACTTTCCCATGTCTCGATTAACAAACTGCCCAAATTGCAAGTTGATTGGATATGTGAAAAAGAAAAGAAAAGATGGGGCTGAATCGTGATTGCCTGCCCAATGGCCCTCCTCTTGTATGTGAGCAGGCGTACAAGAGGGATTAGTGTGTATATGTGTATGTACATAATATGCATACAGAGTGATTTCATGCAATGGCTTTATAGCATGATAATGAAACAATTTTCGAAAACTATCTTAAGGCCACTTATTTGACCCCAATTTTTAAATATGTACTCTTTTCATTCTAATTATCAATCACTAAAAAGCAAAATTTAAAACACATCCTAGAAAGTTATTATTTGGCCCAATTAATAGATGTTGTTCATTTTAGTGAGATATTTAGATCTAGGCCTCGGAAGGAATTTTTTCTTTTACAAATTTTTCGATAGCTTTATTATCATTAGATTAATATGTTAAAAAAGAAAAAAAATGATTTTCAATTCGTAAAAGACTAGATCTTGAAATTCACCAAATAGGTCTTTTTAGATGTATTGTTGGAGGGGCCTCATTTTGACGGTATCTAGGACACAAATTAAATTTATTTACTTATTGGGATACAGTGAATATGTATACAAAATTTGGGGTCAAAGAAATGCCATAAACATGGTTTTCTAGAAGTGTGGTTTCATTATATTTTAATAACATAGCAAATATGAGATCATTCTCAATTGTACAGAGAGAGAGAATGGTTTTTGATATTCATAAAAAAAAGAAAAAGATTATATATGCCAATCAGCTTATTCGTTAGTGCATACCCCTTTGAAAAGTAGGGGTCCATTGAACCGTGTGTATATATATATATCTTGTGGGCTCTTGTCTTTTTTTTATTTTTTTGAACATGAAACTACACAAAGAAGCGGGGTAAAATTAGTCAACTATTTTAAGTGAACACGGGCCGCCTATTTGGTGGATTGTAGATTGAGGCTTTCAACGACTGAATATCATTTTCTTCTAAATTGTTTATTTTTCAACACTTATATTGTGCAAAATTTCAGCAAAAAAGAAGTCCTCCTAGTTCCGTGTTCTGGAGCTATACTGTAGCTCTAAGCCTGTTGGCTCATAGAATCTTTTCCCATAACCAGTTTCTGAAATTTTCATTTGCAGGATGGAGCAGGAGCATCAATGTGGTACACCTGAGCAGAAACGGGATGAATTCAAAACTTTAGCCTTTGGTGCTGCTACGCCTTTCCTAAACGAAATAACAGATCGATTCGTGGATGAGCTTGAGATATTCCTTGCTGCGGGTTTAACTATCGAGGCTTATGATGAATTGTATTTACAAAGCTGGATAGGCAATCAACCTTCTGAGATGGTTGAAAGAAGCAATCAAACTACCGGACACTGGGTGGACTTGCACTTGTTTGATGACGATAGTGATATTATTTAGTGAAATTGGCCATATCTCTCTGCGTATCGCTACTACATTATTAGGCGTGGTAAGTACATTCAAACTCATATACAGGACTCATTCCAAGAGAACATCATAGAAGATTTTCTATAAAATTTCAAGAAATTCTAAATTTTAAGCCCCCCTTTAAGTATTGGAAAATTATGATAACTACAGGTAATTAGTACTTCAAAAGAATCGATTTCCAATAGTTCTTGATAACCTCAAGAAATATTAGGTCTAATAGGAACTGATTATTCTAAATGGTTAGACTTCAAAAAGTTCTCTCTCTCTCTCAATAGCAAACTTGTGCATTGGAACAAATAGAGAATTAGTATTATTTTATGGGATTGTATAGAGCAAAATAGTTACCTTTTGTACACGATGGTCATGCCCAAGCTCTTATTTGTAAAATAAGACTGCCATAGTATACAATTCTCTTATAAACAGAAACTCTCTCAGGGTCATTGGTAATACTTAAAACTGCCTGATTTCACATCGAACGGTTAGTGGTGAATCTGGCTTTTTGTATTTTGTCAAAAAAGGATAAGGTGAATCTAGCTCTTTGTAAACTACCTTATTAATTTTGTATTTTAGTAATATTCTTAAGTTCATGTATGAATCAACTTATTAGTAGGTAATAACTAGCGATTTCTTAAATATGTGAAAATTATGTAGTGATAATTATTTGCAACGGTTTCATGAGCTTGTCTGTGGAATGTGATAAGTGTCTCGTTTTTTTTTCTTTGGCAATCCAAGTATATCCAACTGTAATTTTCCAAACAAAAGAACCTTTTATCCATGAGTGCGAACCGCGTAAACCCAAGCTTGATTTTCATGTGCTTCCTTGTGATAAAGTTAGCATATATATTTTTGAGTCTACTTTAGAATTGTGATCATTAAAAAAAAAACGAATTTTGTGTTTCTATGCACTAAAATTTGACTAATCTCTAATCAAATCTTAAGACGTTATTTGTTTTTCGGACGTGTAAAGTGTCGTGTTTTATTTCTTTTTCTTTTTATTATTGGTGGCTAATTCCAGGAGCTAACATCATAAAAATTGGGTTCTCCTAAGGTCCATTCCATTGAGGAACCTTTGTAAACGCCACTAGACTCATATAAGCCACCCTCCTCCCAACCATCCAAATAAACGGCTTGGATAATTTCAGCCATAATGTCATGAGTGAGTTTTTGACCATTTGATCTTTGATCTGACAATTCTGAGTATTTTATTTTTAAATTTTTGCATATGAAAACCAACAAGCATATGAAAACCAAATTTGAGGCGATCTATCCTCTCATATGGGCTCACCTAAAAACAATCCTAACAAAATAAAATGAGCAAATTTTAAGCGTATTTTGATCGTTTTGTCGTATCATGAATATTTTTTAGGTGCACCCCTATGTGAGGGTGGCAACGGGTCAAGCCCGGGTCAAACCAGCCTTGATCTTGGCCTGGTCCTTATCCCCATGGGCCTAGCCTTGGACCTAGACCGCGCTGGGCTAAGCCAGGCTGAAAACAAAAAAAAAAAAACAAAGAATAGAAAAAAGAGGACCAGGCCAGGCTGGCATGGCCCTAGCGTGACCCTAAGGCTACAGTTCATGCCCTCCTTTTTTAGGGTTCGTTATGACTGGGCCGAGCTGGGCCACCTGGTTAAATGCCAGCCCTACCCCTATGAGAGGATGACATGGCCCAAAGTTAGATTTGCATAAAAAAATTTAAATAATATTTTGGCATAAAATGATGATTAAAGCCATCTGAGCCGTTCAATCATAACGAACGGCTTAGATAGAGGTGGCATATACAATTTCCTAGAAGGGTTACAATGTACGAAGACAAAGTGAGAGATCTAAAATGTAGGGAGACAGAGAGATTAATATCTTGTTAGAGTGAGAAAAGACTAACATTCTTGGGGAGAGACTAAAATTTTGGAAGAAATTTTGACCAGTTACGTGTTTCCCATGCGGGACAGAATTCATTTACTAAGATGATTAATCGAGCTACAAATACATATGCTCTTGTGGATAGGATAACGCTTCTATAAAATTGTATGTGCCACCTTTACACACAAAATCTTAATCTTAGGGGATAGAATTAAAATCTCTCCCCAAGATTTGAAGTCTTTCTCAATCTCACAACATATTCAATGTCTCTCCCTATATTTTAATTCTCTCCCTCACTCCCCTCCCCTGATATTTTCTGTTACAACTATCAAGAAATAAATAAGGAAAAAGTTCATATAAGGTTGCAACCTTAGATCCATTGGAAAATGTTGCTTGAATGTTGAGAAAATTTTTAATTGGTCATCGAGGTGCATTAATATAGAAAAAAAAGGAAAAAAAGATTTTGAGTCCCAAAAATAGTGCATATTGTAATACATTATCTAGACCGTCCATTTTCAAGATTTTCCTATGTTTATAGATCTACTTGATTTTAACCATTTTTTGAGTTTTAAATTTTACAATTAGATATAAAAATAGATTTTGAGATAATCCTGATAATTTTTTTTCACCAAAATTACATGTTATGATACAATTTGGAGGTGCGCCTTAATTGGATTTTTTTAGGCTGCAACCTTGTAGAAACCACACCCAATAAATAGTAGGCTGTTATTGGTCACAAAAAATAAATGATAGGCTCTCATATTTATCCTAATCTATGGTTTCCAAAGATTGCGCATATGAACCTTTACATTTTGAATATAATCCCTATCCTAAAGATGACTCCTAATTAGAACATGAATCAAGATTTGAGTCCTTTTTATAACTAACTTATCAAGACTTATCCCTTTCAAGTAGATTTTGAATAACTGGAAATCAAGATTTGAGTCCATTTTGTAGCCAACTCTTCATGAGTTATTGCTTTCAAATAGAATTTGAATTAGTTGTTTTATACTGCTGATCACTGCATCATTGCATTTCCACAGTATCGATTGTTATAGCATATTATTAACCCGGACCCGGATGCAGTAACTCTTAATCTACTTGAAAACATGGGTAGGGCCTGTCTTCCCCACTGAATTACCTTAAAGCAAGGAAAACTCTCAACAACCGAATACTTCCCAAACTTGAAAGTGATAACAAGAATGCCTACGTCTCCTCAATCTTTTGGCAAAAGATTTACTGTAAAAGAAGACTCAAAGAAAAGGAGAGGGCTGGTGGAGATTGAGGTCCCAAAGCGGAAAAGATCGAAACCACAGGTGATGATGGCCTCAGACCAATCCTAGACACATTCGATGACTTCTCATTTATGATTGAGGATGAGTTCTTTAGAGGAATCCCGGATTGCACCGAGAGCAACATGTCGATTTATAATTTTTTAGAATCATGAGCTATTACTGTTGTTGATAACTTCTCTTTGGAGTAGGGCAATTTTATTTGCTTCATCATGAGCTATTATTGTTCTTCATAACTCCTCTTTGGAGTAGGGCAATTTTATTTGCTTTATTATTGATAAACAAGAAAGAGGGAAAGAAGTGGCGTGGAAAATAAAGAAAGGGATTGTGTATTTTAAAAACCATTTACTTTTAATACAAGAAGTTACAATCAATAATAACTATCACATGTGAAATCGGACAACTTGGGGTGAGTTATAAAAATTCAAACAATTTTTTTTTGTTGAGTTTGGGTGCAGTTAATGAATCATCTGATTTTACATTTAACTGCCATGGTTGATTGTCACCTCCTTGTACTATAGACAAATAATCTTATTGTATACTTCTCTAAAAAGAAAACATGTATAGTTTTATTGCTTTCACTGTAGATTTTGGGATTCTTTTGCTGAGAGTTATAAAATTGCACTGTGGCATGGAGTTATTGTCTATTGTTATTTTGTAAACTCAAATCCAAGAAAGAGAAATTAGATGAGAATGAGATAGTTGGCATCCATAAAAATGTGTTCACACAAGATATTTTCTTAGTTTCCCCTTTTCTTTACGTGGGTATAGGTGCTTTTGTGATATTCTCTTCTTCTTTTTTAACACAATTTATGGGATTGTAGGAAGGGAAAACAAAAAAAGATGGTCTCAATATCAATAGTTTAGGGTTTGCTAGAATTTGCCCCGATATTATGAGATTCAGAAAAAATAATCCATCAAAATATAAAAAGAAAGAACATACATCCTAATTTTTATAATTTAAAAAATAAGCTGCGCTAGTTTAAAAAGAATTTGCAATTGCGTCAATTTAAAAAGGTGATTTAATTCTTGTTTTTATTTCTGATTTTCCTATGCGAATTATAATTTGACAAGTTTTAATTAAAAATTAATTTCAGAAAATATGTCATGCTAATTTTAAAGTAAGATATTTCAATATACATAAGATAACACCTTACAAATTTTATATAGAACTATGATTTAAACAACTATTTGTTCCAATTTAATAAAGATATTCAAAAATAGGAAATATGATTATTTATATGAGATTTACAAAATAATTTACAAGTATATTGACGTAATAAAGGCATTTAATTCTCTTTTTTTTTTTTCCTTTTTGTTATTGGAAACGAGGTGATTAAAACTCACGTCTTATCAGAATACAAATTTTTGACCAATTGATGCCATGCATCGGATGGGCTATGGAGTAGGAGAGATCCTAACGTAATGATTGGAAAGATTCTTTGGATATTGAAGTTCCATGGTCCTGATCTAAGGGATTTCAATGGATTATCATTCTACACACGTGGGGTATGCACGTTTGGTGAAAATCCAATCATGAGTCCCATCATGGTGGCTTGGAACACTAGCCAATTGCTGTGCACCATCTTTTATCTTTTTTAAGTCTTTTATGTTTCCTTGAAGGTCACATTTTTTTGCATAATATAATATAAATATTATAAAAATTAATTAATAAATAATACTATTTATTTTTAACACAAGGAGATCACAGTCATTATTGATCATTAGGTATAAAATTAAGTTGTTAAATGGGTCTGATTGATTAGGCACAGAACTCAAAATAAAATTTTTTGAATTGTGTGAAAAATACAACTATAATTACGTTATCAATAGTTAAAGATGAGTGTG